AGTGAATGTATCTGCCATATAGTCCGCAAAGGATTTCGCTTTATCTTCTTCTGTATATGAAATTCCACTAGGTCCATGAATAGGTGGAATAGGTTTATAAGGTTTCTTGAATTTGCGGGAAATGTCAAATAGGGAATTATCCTCTATAGAAGGTTATTAAAGAAAGTAGTCCATTTTTGGTTTTTGAAGTTCTTAATTCTTCTGTTGCTTTATTTTTGCATTGAGTTTAATTCGCGTTTCAGTTGTGGATCTATGGTGGTTTGCCATCTTTTACGGGGCCAGTTTTCTCTTTAATATTATTTCTTATATCGGCAGGCAGAAGGAGGAAAGGCTTGTTCACGTAAAAAGTATTGGTGGTTTCCCTTAATGCAGAGTTGATACAGTTGGTAAATTTTGAGACTTCTTGTTCTAATTCTTCTTTGTTATTGATGCGTGGGTTTCCCTTCTATGGAGTTATTCAGAATGTCAGAGTATTTGATCCAATTTGTAACTCCTACACTTTTGTCAAGTGAGTGGGGTATTTATTAATGGGGGATTTCAAATACAATTGGATTGTGGTCGGAAGAGAGGGCTGGTATTACAGAAATATTGCATCTGTTAGTAATGTTATTTGAGATGAAGTAGTCAATTGTGGTGGCGCTATTGTACCCGTAATGGGTGGGCTCGTCTGTGGCATGAATGTTTTAATTAATTGATTGAATTAGGTTAAATATATCATTTCCTTTCCTGTTTGCAGGTCCCCGGTTCCAGCAGGGATATTTGGCGTTAAAGTCCCCTTCGACAATGGTAGAAGTATTAGATTTTAGGAGGTGAATCAGTTCTTGTGCGATGGGATTGTTATTTGGTGGGATGTATATATCAGAAATTAAAATTTTTTGTGATTTAGAATTTCTATTCTATTTCTTTCGAAAGTGATGCTGGGATTTGGAATTTGAGAGAGTTTCATGCTCTTTTTAACAAATGTGATAATGCCACCGCCTCTTCTTGTGTCCCGATCCGTACGGTAGGTGTTATAATTAGCATATACAGTCAAAATTCGTTAATCCAGACTCGTCGGGACTTCAGCGATTCCTGATTATCGATTTTTCCGGATTATAGATCATCAGTTTAAATCTGGTAAGATGGCATGCCCTTCTAAATTCCATCCAATTTATGAATAAAGAACCTTATATTTAAAGGGTCAACATTACAAAAAAACTTAATTTTAATATGAAACCATATGTTATGAAATAAAGAACAATTATGATCTAAAGGGTATCAAAATTTAAAAAAAAAAAAAAAAAAAAAAAGCTTAATATTTATTGTTTACTTTAAACATTTCTTTCAATGTAAATTGTTTTAAGTTGCTTCGTTTCATGTGATAATACTTTCTTTAATTCTATAAACAGATAAATTTCTAGTTTAGTTAAAAAGTTTCGCTGTTCAAGTCCTATAATTGCTTGTGTGAGAATACGACTAATTGTCCATGAATTTTTTCGTTTTCAATAACCTCTGTGTCACTTTCTTCAATATCGAAAGCGATTATAATGACGAGGAATTTGAATTTACCCTATCAAAGATGGAGTACATCGAGATGAAATACTACATTAGTAAGGAATATAAGCCAAATAAAAAAAAAATCTGCCCTGAAGATAAGGATAGTACTGACAGATCAACTTTTCATTGGCGCCGCGGCGTTCCCCCCCCCCCCGCCGCAGAGCAGCGTGAAAGATAATAACAGATTCGAATGGTTAGAGAAACAAGGATATGCCTTTATCCATTTTTGCAGCAATTCCACTTTGTTTAATGGACTTCGAAACATACTTTCGCTTTGTAGATCCTTTACATATTAATAAATATATATCAGAAATTCTATTTGACATAATCGAAAGTTCAAGCTTACTTTTATAAAATTGCTCTAACAGTCTGCAAAAAATAATAAGCCAGATTCAATTCGAAGATTAAGGAACAACGCAATCTGCAACATTAACTGAATTAGATAATTTTAGCTTAGCTTATACCATCTGTTATACATTAAACGCGCATGCGCACACGCATATTCGCGGACGTAAAGGTCTTACGCGCATGTGTCAACGCCACGCATGCGCAGAAAGTTTGTAGCTTTGAGGTCCGGATTATAGATCATTCCGGATTATGGGTGTCCGAATTAACGACTTTTGACTGTAGTACTTTAAGTGCTAGTCTAAAGTGAGTCTCTTGTATGAGTATTACGTCAGGTCCAATTTTAATAATGAGGTTGGATAATTCATCTTTTTTATGGTAAAGACCGTTTGCATTATTGAATTTAGCTACAGATGAAGAAGCATGTATAAAGCTGGGTAATACTATATTACAAGCTCGTCGACAAATGCACAACTCATTAGTGAGTCAACGGGGCGTGTCTGTTCATTACAATGCATAGAAAAAAATGGGATATCAAAAAGTGATTTCCCGTATGGATTCCAAAATATTCATCGGAAGCGAAAACGAACATAAGCATTGACATGTGTTTTCAGAATATATTTTCCTTGTGGCAGAAGAGTGATGCATTCTTGAATCAAGTCATTGCAGAAGACGAATCGGGTGCTACCACTTTTACCCTCATATGTCAAAAATGAAAACATTCTGCATTACCACCATCCATGAAATTACGTCCTGTTCCTTGTGCTGATAAGTTTTATTGACCCTTTTCTTTGATCGTCACAAACCCATACTCATTATCAGCTTGCCAAAAAGCACCGTACCGAATTTGCTGCTATGAAACGCAGGAACGTTTGAGAATATTAATGACGATGAACTTGGGATGATGTCTGGAGGTATCATTCCTTTGCAGGACAATGCAAGGTCACATACAAGAACGGACAGGTTGAAAAATATCAGACAGTTCGGGTAGGATGTGCTACCCTCTTTCCGTACAATCTGCACTTCTAAAACCACGGTGAGTAAAGTCATTATCGATTCTAATTTTGATAAGTCGGTATTGGTTAAGCTCATGTATTTATTAAAGAATCAATTTACAGACAAATTCGTTTAGATAGAAATATACGCATCTGGTTCTACTCTATCAATATAAAGAAATGCAATATTTACATGGGTAAACATTTATATGATTATTATACTCTGCAAATAAATAAACATTAAATGACTTTGTAATACGTGTACAGGACGCACTAGAAAGAACTTATTGGCTAGGATAAATAAGATCAAAAATAACATTTTTATCTTTTTCCAGCATATAATGTTTATTATCTCCTCTACTATTGTCATATCTACCAGTTTTATTCTGACATTTACAATAATTTAAGGAAAGCGTTAATTTTATTATAAATGCAATTGTTCATGCAAACAATATCACTTGATATTCAAACATTAGAATACAGAATTTAAACATAAAAATATTTGCATTAAAATGCCGACTATATATGAAACACCAGTAACAAATTTTAAATGAGGACTATTTATTTCCCAATTATGTAAGCGAATTCATATTAATGTCCTAATAAAGCTACATATTTGATCTAGTTGTTGAAACACAAAACATTCTGTACAATACATAATTGAATATAGATGTTATTATGTGTTTTAAATGCGAACATGTCAATTAATGAGAAGCCTACGTGTATAATAAAAACAAGGAAAGTGCAGAATCGCCCACTGCTTGGCACGTTTTTAAGAATTGCACATATTCGGTATCCATACATCGACCTATTTTCACTTAAAAAGTCAAAGAAAATTGACAAAAAAATCCAATTCTTCATATTCTTGTAAAAAGCGCCAAACAAACGCCACTCAAATAAGTGGGCGATTCTGCACTTTAGCCATGAAAACTACTACTCTTCTTTAAATAAATTCACTTTATATTCATTTCTATGAAGGAAGGAGAATTAAAAGAAATACTTACATTATTGGTTTCGTAAAAAAAAAAAGAAATACTTACATTACTGTCGTTCGTATCAAAAGCAAAACTATCGTTTTCTTAAACATGAGAATAAAAACTGCTGCCACTTGCAAATAAAATTATTAACATTTTTCCAACTTATAGTTTTTTTCATTGTTAGTTGGCACGACTATTAACTGAGTAACAAAATTTCTGTATCGTTAAAAAAAAAAAAAAAAAAAAAAAACTGAAATGTTTCAGATTTTAAATTACGTCCAAAGGGGCGTTTTTTAACATTTTGTGTGTTACCTTTCTTTATTAAATATCATGCTCCTCGCACTTAAACCATAAGATCCAGTGCAACAGCAATATCGCAAAATAGTTTTAAAACGAGCATATCTTTAGAATTTCCGATACAGAGACTCACGCGCTGGAGATAAAATGTTTTTTTCTGCACAAACGTTGCCATTGCTCGCTTTGAAATCCTTGAGTTTGTTAATCAAAAATTCGTCAAAGTTTTTAAAAAATAGGAAATCGATCATAAAACAAATTTCAAATTTGGTCTTCCACATGCTCATATTCGTTGGAGGATTACGTTATTCAAAATTCGATGACTCTATGTACCGTTGTTTTATCACAATACGAGAAATATACATACATTTATGCAGATTTTTCATTATTTAATTTCTTCAAATATAATGCAGGACTCTAACATTTTGTGGCAACAGTTTGAAAAGTGAACCGACATTTATGAGTCCGACGCAAAATGCCAAAACGAAACTAATAGTCCTTCGGGATTCAAATCCCTTTGGACTAAAAAAAAAAAAAAAAAAAAGAGAGAGAGAGAGAGAAATACTGTGTGTACATAAATTTTTTGTTGGCTTACTATATAAGAATAGCTTCAATTAAAGTCTTTAACATTTTATTCTATATTTCAAAAATTAAATTATTAGCTTAACTTTCTGGTCCTGTCACATTTTCTTTCGAAATATTCTTTAATTTTATTTTCCAGAAACAAAATTCTGTTCCTGCCTCTAATGCAAAGCGTAAAATCAAGTTCTTTGGCTAAATGACGTGATAGGTGCAAAATATGTTATTCTTACGTTTTCATTTGCCTGCGCTCGGTAACTGAAATTAAAAAGACATGTTGAGTAAAGTTAGTGGTTTGGAGGAATTTGAAGTTGATGAACTGTATAAGAAATTCTTAGAAGATGATTTTGATGTGAAAGCTGTTACATCTTCTGCCGTTCAAAGTGCCGCTGTATCTGAGCAACTTGCAAAGCTTGGTGCAGGGATTTCGTTATTAGATAAAGCCCTTCATCACCAAGTTTCTACCCATTACGAAGATTTATTATATCAGGCAACAGAAATTGAAACATTAGAAGGAGTTTTAGTGCTTGTTCATGAAAAAATTTCTTCGATTTTGAGTTCAGCGGACAAACTTAAAAGTAAAGTTTTTGAGCCGTATGAAGAGATTGCCAGTTTAACAAGAAAGTTACAACGTCTTCATCTAGTCTGTGATCTGCTAAGGAGAATAATAAGGATTGTTCGTCTCTGTAGACGATTAAAAACTCATTTAAGTAAAGAACCTCCAGAATTAAGTAAAGCATCTAACTGCTTGAATGAATTAGAGTGCTTATTGGATGAGGTGGATATGTCAGGGTTAAGTGTAATTGACACTGAAATGAAGTATGTTAAACATGCAAAAACTGTTATCCAGCATGATGTGAAATGAACTGTCATTAGATATTTGATCTTCTGTAATCCTGTATTATTAGATACACATAGATTTTCTATACTTTTGCATTGATTAATATATACCAAGAAAAATTTAATATTTTATAATATAATGTATTTATAATGTTTAGAGATTTAGCAACAACTTATATGGAAGCAAATATCACATAAATGAAGATATTAAAAAATTTAATTTTCTGTTTGACATTTGAAAATATACTTTATAAATTATTTATTTTTAAAAAAATGTGATACTTTTCTGTTATGCATCTTCCATGCATTTTGGGAGTACTACTGTAGTATGTAGGTGTTTAATTAATCTTCTTACACATGCACAGTCTCTAGATGGTGCTATCGCTGGCTCTAGGTATGTATTTGGCTGCTTTCCCACAGAAGCCAAAGAAAGTATGAAAAATATAAAACATGAACAGGGAATCAAAGTTAATCAACTTTATGATATAGTGGCAACATTTCTAAAAAGATAAACTGAAATTCCATAAAATTGTATAAAATGTTTTATGTAGAATAAATGCTTATATTAAATGAAATTCTGAATTATTGCAAAAAAGTAGAATATATTTTAGGTTTTGTAAAAGTAAGACCTTTTAATTTTATAATGCACATGCTTATGCAAATTAACAAATTTTCTAGCTTAATTAGCTTAAATTATTTTTCGAATATCAAACTTGCTGACAAATAGGATACAAATACCAAAAATAATCATTAAATCCATTATTCATATAGTAGCAAGTATAAATGATTTAAAAAATTTAATGTTTTTAAATTTTAATTAAAAATCTGTATACTAAAAATTAGAATATTTTTTATTGGCTATGATGAAATAAAAAACTTCAGAGCTTTCACAAAATCTTGATCACTTCTGTTTGATGGTTTATTATCTGAAAAAAAAAAAAAAAAAAAAAAAAAAAACAGTTATATAAGCAATGATTATATAATAATAGTAGCTTAAAAGAGTTAACAGGAGTGAAAGAGTAAGAATTGTCATTGAAAAGTATCTATAGCTAAGGCACCACCCAAAAGAATTGAAACTGTATTTATAGAATTCAGTCTGGTGAATACAAATTAAGGAATAAGTTAAGACTTCAAAATATGCTTTGAGATGTGTATCCTTACTTTGTTAAATTGAAATGGTTATCATTTCGATTGAATTCATTCAAATTGAATGATTTGATATATGAATTAAAAATCAAGAATAAAATTTTGTAAATACATTGGTGTTTAAGGTTTGTGAATATAAACTATGGATCTTCAGCTGATATTTTATAACTAAGTTTTTTAAATAATGTTCAGTTTCAGTCATACCAATGGATTGAATATGCATTTAATGTGATGTTGATGAAGCTTATGGCATAACTATTTTTAATAAGTTTGTAAAAGAGATTGAAACATTCAAAGTATATTAATAAAATCACACTTCAAACAAAAAAAAATTTTTTATTTTTCTTTGCATCAAATGGTAATTACAAAAATGCCATTCATCAGCCAGTCTTTGAAATGTTTAATGAAGGTCCCATTGCAACTGGTTATAGAATATAGCTTTAATTACCACCAGTGAATATTACCAAAGATTGCTGCGAGATGTTTTCCTTCCTCAGTTACAAAATACTAGACATGGATATAGATCTTTTATGGTTTCATAAAGCCAAAATATTTATGCATATTTTGTGACAAATAGTCCAACAGAGATAATTTCTTGCCATGATTACATCTTTTTGTTGTTACAGTAATCATATATAATACATGTTAATTTTTTCAAATGGAGGATTCTCAAGCAAGAAGTTTTTCAGAGGTGATGTGTTATAATACAAGAACTAAAGGAAAGTATCCCAAAGCTGTTATCACCAATATTCCTAGATATATATCGTGATGAGCTAATAACACTGATGGGAAGAATGTGTAAGAGCAATATTTTATAAAAATGACATTAAAATATTGACAGATAAATGGTAGTCCTGTAAGTATGATTTGACCTAAAAAAATTATAAATTACTGTTTGCATATGGTACAATTTTATTAATATGTCATTCCACATCCTTTATACACCAGTGAGCAAAATCTTCACAGTTGTAATTCAGACTACACAATGCAAGGAAACACATGGTGCATGAGCAATTTTTTTTTATTCCACATGTATGAGCCAAATAATAATGCTGCTTAATGATTTAATATATCTGATGCATGCAGGCTGTTACTGTTGAACATGAAATCTGAGTGTGATGGAATCAATTGGTGATTGTGAATGTCTTGCAAACCTTACTGCATATCTAAAAAAGGGTTAGAAATAACAAAACATGACATATTATTGGATAGCTAGATGACTGGGAATAAATGGTGCATGTTGTTAGCAAATTTGATATCATTCACAATGTTGCTTCTCCGTTTTACTGTACTGACTGATAAATGACATACCTGCAATTACTATTTGACATACAGAATAATAAATAGAAAGCAGTTATTTGCTTATGGTATGATATGAATTCTGTTGTACTACACATAATCGGTTATTGTAACATTAGCACTCCCGCTAAATCTATAAAAAGTTTAAAAAATTGTTTTTTAAAAATTATTTAAAATTTCTGATGTATTGTGTTAAGTCGTATTTTTTCTTCTGAAATGGCCCACCAGCGGCCGAGCGGTAAAGTCGCTGAAATGTAGTTTTCGAATCCGCGAACGGGCTGGCTGCATGGGCGTTTTCGTGGTTTTCCCCATGTGTAACGTGCATACGAGCCAGTTTCCCTTAGAAAGTCCTCCACGAAGGCATCCCTCCCTTAGGCAGATAGCTCTCGTGTGCTTTGCCATAATAACACCCCTTCGAATTAAAAAATAATTTCCAATAATAAGATGTTTAGAAAATACATACTTGGTAAAATTTTTCCTCTTGTTATGAAGATAGTCTAAAAAATTGGATTTAGCTAAGGATTAAGTAAACAATATTAAACAGGTGATAGTTTAAATTAATTCTAACATACCCATACAAAACAGAATGAATGGTATGAATAGAAAATTATAAGAAAGAGTACCATTGTTTGACTGAGAAATCACCTTCCATAAAAACATAAGGTAACTGTCTTTCTGGAGCCTTTTTTTATCATTTCTTTGTCTGTTAGCACCAACAGACTCTGCTGAAGATTCACTTGGCATCTGTTTTACTCAAGCTTTGTTCATTATGATTTGTTGTTTTCTATACTTTTTAATGTGTTTAAAGAGATACATCACATTGTCTTTGAAAATACTTTGCTATTCCAGTATCAAAATGATATTATAAAAATATTGCACATTATCCCATTTTGCAGATCAAAAAAGGTTCATCTCTCTGTTCTTCTTTTTTTGTTGCTGCCTCTCAAGGAGTTTTAGTTCTTTCTTGATGAACTCATTTTTGAGGTCCTCTGATAATTCCTCGATGTCTTCACTGTCAACTTCTAAACCCATAGTTTTGCGGGAAAAAAAAAAAAAAAAAAAATAAAAAAAAAAAAGACCCGTATAAGTTTGAAAAATCGAATTTTTTCCAGTTTAAAAAACGAGGGCCATCCAGGAAGTAGATTACGTTTCCGTCTGTGTCCGCTAGGGGCGGGGCTAGCGCGGCCATCTTGGGGTCAGAGCGTTGCGCAGCTCAGTCTGCATCTAGCCGTGCTAGTGAGAGGTTCGTGCTGTGCTCCGTTCAGATACTGTGACGGTTTGAAATGTCTGCGTTAATTGAAAATCCCGCGAGGTGCGCTCAGTAATAAGGTTTCTGACTGCAAAAAACTGTAAACCGATAGAAATCTATCGGCAGCTTCGTGAAGTGTATGGGGACAACATTATCACTGAAGGTGGAGTGCGTCAGTGGGTCATAAGATTTCAAAATGGCCGAACCAATGTTCACGACGAAGATCGAAGTGGGAGACCCAGCATAGTGACCGCCGAACTTCTCGAAAAAGTCGATGCTAAAGTCCGTGAAAATCGAAATTTCACAATAACGGAACTTTCTTTGAGTTTTCCACAAATTTCGCGAAGTTTGTTGCACGAAATCATCAGCGAAAAGCTTGGTTACCACAAGTTTTGTGCAAGATGGATTCCAAAAATCTTGACAGAGGACCACAAAAATCAGCGAATGGCTGCAGCGTTGAACTTTTTGGACGCTTACCATAAGGATGGTGACTCTTTACTCGATCGCATCGTTACTGGTGACGAAACATGGGTGAAACATGTGAACTGTGAAACGAAATTGCAATCAATGCAGTGGGGGCACACAAGTTCTCCCCAAAAACCCAAGAAATGCATGCAAACAATGTCGGCAAGGAAGATGATGGCGACTGTTTTTTGGGACAGAAAAGGTGTAATTTTGGTGGACTTCCTGGAAAGAGGCACTACAATAAACTCTCAAAGGTATTGCCAAACTCTCCAAAAACTCAGAAGAGCAATTCAAAACAAGCGCAGAGGAATGTTGAGCTCTAAGATCTTGTTGATTCACGACAACGCCCGGCCCCACACGGCAAATGTCACTCGTAAAGTTCTTGAATCTTTTAAGTGGGAGTTGTTTCCTCATCCGCCGTACAGTCCCGACCTGGCACCGAGCGACTTCCACCTATTCCCAGCAATGAAGAAGTGGCTGGCTATGCAGCGTTTTGATGACGACGCACAGCTGCAAGAAGAGGTAACGAAGTGGTTGAAGGCGCAGGCGGCCGAATTTTTCGACGAAGGAATTTCCAAGCTCGTACATCGCTACGATAAATGCCTTAATTTGTATGGTGACTATGTAGAAAAGTAGTATTTGAGTGTGGCTTTCATCTGTATATAATAAAATTTGTTTCCTATACTTTGTTTATTTTTTTATTCCAAAACGTAATCTACTTTCTGGATAGCCCTCGTATAACGTACTTAATGAATAAATTATATTTTCGTGTGGTTTTGCATGTTACAAACTTTTTCCATGATTTGTTTCTTTTTTCTGTGGGGTCTCATCTGACAGGACATTTCCCCACTTGTTACTATGACAGA